AGCTCCTGAACAGGGAAGGGGAAGAAATTTTGAGGCACAGGCAGCACCAAGGTCCTGAGGCAGACAACTGCGTGGTGATTCCCAGAACAAGAAAGCAGGGGAGAGAAGGAGGTGTTGAGTCGGGGCCAGACCACCACACACGGGGAAGGATTTGTGTTTCTATGTAACAGAGAGCTAAATCCAGGGACTTAAGGAGGAGCCCTCCAGCATGTCATCAGGGACCGAGGCTCCATCTAGTTCTCCACTTCAACATCCTTAGGGTGTGGCTCTTGTCCTTATACTCACAAGATGGCTGCTGGAACTCCAGCCATCATGTCTGCATTCTAGGCAGGAAGAAGAAGGGCAAAGATAAGAGGGACAAGCAGTCAAATTTGACCTCTTTCAAAAGGCTCCACTAGAACCTTCAGCTGATATCATGAGCCAGCCTGTGTCACATGGTAATCCTTGACATCCAGGGAATGAGGTTTATTAGATGGCTACATTGCTGGTTGCTACAGAATCAATTTTTTTTTGAGACAGAATCTCACTGTGTCATTCAGGCTGAGTGCAGTGGCCCAATCACAGCTCCCTGCAGCCTCGACCTCCTGGGATCAAGGGATCCTCCTGCCTCAGCCTCCTGAGTTGCTATGAATACAGGCATGCACAGCCATGCCCAGTTAATTGTTTTATTTTATTGTATTTTTTGTGGAGACAGGGTCTCACTATGTTGCCCAGGCTGGTCTTGAACTCCTGACCTCAAGTGATCCTCCAGCCTCGGCTTCTGGAAGTGCTGGGATTACGGGCATGAACCACTGTGCTCAATCCAAAATCAATGTTCTATTAGTAAAGAAGAGAAGGGAATGGCGGAAGGGGTGTGACCTTTGTTCTGAGTGCAACTGGGAAGCCACAGAATGGCCTAAGCAAGGGGATGACGTGGAACAGGGAAAACAACTTCAGGTTGTCCCAACCGGGCCACGGTAACACACATCTGTGGCACGGATATTCCTTTCCTAGGGCTGCCAGAACAAATTACCACAATTTTGGTAGCTGAAAACAACAGAAATTTATTCACTTGCAGTTCTGGAGGCCAGAAGTCTGAAATCAAGGTGTCAGCAGGACCACTCTCCCTCTCGAGGCCCCTGGAAAGGATCTTTGCTTGTCTTGTCCTAGCTTCTGGATCTCCTGGAAATCCTTGGTGTGCTTGATTTGTAAACAGCGTCACTCCAATCTCTGCCTTCACTGCGACAGGGATCCTCCCTATATCTCCTCTGTGTCTCTGTATCCACATCTCCCTCTTCATTTACAAAAAGACACCAGTCATTGGATTTAGGGCCCACCCTAATCCAGTCTGCCTTCATCTTGACTCGATTCATCTGTAAAGACTATTTCCAAATAAGGTCACATTCATAGGTACCAGAGGTGCACACTTGAACATATCATTTTGGGTGACATGGTTGAAACCCACTACAGCATGCAAAAGGATGGAAGGGCTATCTGGTGCTGGCTGTGTTAAGGTGGGCCACTCATTTTCCCCTCACCCACAGATCATAAGATAGCCCAGGATTTAGGGAGGCAAGTTTATTTCCCCAATTTTAACACATTGCAAAGCACTGGTCCCCCCACCCCACCTTCAGCAAACACTTCCTAAGCACGGAGGAAGTGAGGGACCTTGAGCCATATAGGCACAGAGGTGACTTTGCCCATCCCTGCCCGTCAGAGGCTCGTAGTTCAGGGGCAAACAGACATTTAAATAATGGGCTGGGCTGGGCGTGGTGGCGCACACCTGTAATCCCAGTTACTCGGGAAGCTGAGGCATAAGAATCACCTGAACCCGGGAGGCAGAGGTTGCAGTGAGCTGAGATTGCGTCACTGCACTCCAGCCTGGGCAACAGAGTGAGAATCCATCTCAAATAAATAAATAAATAAATAAATAAATGATAATAATAATAAAAGATGGGCTGAATAGCATCTAAACTTGGTTTCCTTTCTTCAGGCAAATTTTTAAGCTAACTGATGTCTCTTAATATAAACCACTTTTTTGTTTGAATTCGGGGGAAGAGGGTGAGTTGTAGCTATGGCCGTGGCAGGTGGTGTCAGGAGAACCATAACCAGCTGCAGAGTTGGGATCCTGCAGACTATCAGATGTACAGTGTTGGGCAGGGCCCCTTATATTTTTTTTGCTTGGAAGTGGAATAAAAACTGCTCACCAGTGAATCCAGGAAGCAGGCTGGGAGGCGGCCATCGGACTCTTCCTTTGTGCAGCTCTCTCTGCACAGATTGCTATGCAGGGAGCTTTGTTTTTTTGATGGGTGATTTTTTTTTTTTAAATGGAGATGGGATCTCCAGCAGAGATGGGTGGAGATAGGAGAGACAGAAACCAAGGAAAAAGATGAAGCATTAGGTCTCCTGAAGGGTGGGGAAAGGGGCAGAAACAGAGGGAGCTGCTTTCCCGAGGGAGGCCAAGAGCTCTGGGCAGAAGCAGTGGCTTCAGTGCCTGTGGGCAGAGCTGGAGAGCAGTGCATCCCCCTTTGGGTACCCTCCCGAGACTCCAGGGCTGATGGCTGTGGCAGCAATGGGAAGCAGCATCCTTGGCCTTCACCCCAGAGGCTGTGGCATCAGGGCAGCCCCCTACCAGGTGGCTTTATGAGTAAAACCAGGAATCCAACAAGAGTGGCCCCATGTGACTTTTGCAAATAGTACACATGAGTCACCCCTTGAGGACCCCCTGAAATAAGGGATGGTGGAGGCCACTTCCAGGGGGTGGAGGTCATTAGAGAGGTAGGGGTGGAAGGCCGATAAGAAGGCAGAGTTTGGCCAGGCGCAGTGGCTCATACCTGTAATCCCAGCACTTTGGGAGGCTGAGGTGGGTGGATCACCTGAGGTCAGGAGTTTGAGACCAGCCTGGCCAATATGGTAAAACCACATCTCCACTAAAAATACAAAAATTAGCCAGGCATGGTGGCGTGTGCCTGTCATCCCAGCTACTTGGGAGGCTGAGGCATGAGAATCTCTTGAACTCGGGAGGTGGAGGTTGCAGTGAGCCGAGGAAATGCCATTGCACTCCAGCTTGGGCGACAGAACGAGACTCTGTCTCAAAAATAAAAGAAGGCAGAGTTTAAGCTGAGTGTTGAATGACTAGGAATCTGCCAAAGGGAGAAGGCAAGGGCAGCCATTCCAGACAGGAGGACCAGCGTGGGCAGTGGCACGAGTGACCACTGATGGCTTGAGACCGTCAGGGGAGTCTGGTCTGCGGGGGTGGGTGCACAAGGATGCACGAGGTGGTGAGAGGAGAGAGAAAGAACTAGAGAGAGGCTGGGGCTGGCTCATGGTGGGATCTTGCACGCCAGCCTAAGAGCTTTGGTTTTTGTCTGGAGGACAGTGTCTTGAGGGAGCCCTGGATAGCCTGTGAACAGAGAGAGGTGTTTTTGATTGGTTTGACTGCCCCGCTGAGGATGGGTGGAGGCATGGGCCGTCTGGAGGCAGGAAGGGAGGGCAGTGGCAGAGGGAATAGCCCCTGACACCAACCAACCATGCTTTATCTGCTCCTCTTCCCCCGGCCTGCCCCGACCCCAGGTCCCCAGAGTGTGTCACTTGTCGTAAGAGCAGAGTGCCTTCTGGCAGGTGAGGATTGCAGGAACCCGTTGTCCCCACTCATGCTGGGCCCAGGGCAAGGGCCGGCTGGGCAGCTGGCAGCCTGGCAGGGAGAATGTCATTTGCTCTGCTGTGTCTGCCACCACCACCACTGGGCAGCCTGATTAATGACCCAGGGCTCCTCACCGGTCCGCAGCCCTATCTCTGTGGCGGTGGCTGCCGAGGGAACCTGCCTGCCCTGCCTGCCTTCCTCCTGCGGCTGGCGCTCTTGGGCCGGCTCCAGGAAGTGCTTCCACATCGCCCCTCTCTGGCTCTTAAGTCTTTCTGCCAACCATTTCTCTGGCCTCCTTTAAACCCTGGCCCAAGTGCTCCTCTGCAGGAGAGCCTTGCAGAATGAACCCCCAGCCCACAGCGTTCTGGCTTCTTTATTTTATCTCCATCAGGCACACAGCAAAGGCTCAGAGGTATGCCTGGAAGGAATCCTTGATGCTTCTCTCGCCTTCCCACCCCTGTGGTGATGCTGTGTGGGCTCTGGGTTCTGTATCAGCTCTGCTTGAGGGTCTATGCTCCTGTGTTTATACAAGTCCCATTCCAGACTGGCAACTCCCCAGGATCAAGAGGCAGCCTCCTCCTTTAGACTGGTGCCTTCTAAGATCCAGATTTTTCTTTTTTTTTTTTTTGAGATAGAGTCTCACTCTGTCGCCCAGGCTGAACTGCAGTGGTGCGATCTCGGCTCACTGCAAGCTCCGCCTCCCCAGTTCAAGTGATTCTTGTGCTTCAGCCTCCCGAGTAGCTGGGATTAGAGGCGTGTGCCACCAGGCCAGGCTAATGGTTGTATATTTAGTAAGACAAGGTTTCACCGTGTTGGCCAGGCTGGTCTCGAACTCCTGACCTCCAGTGATCCGCCCGTCTTGGCCTTCCAAAGTGCTGGGATTACAGGTGTGAGTCACCACGTCCAGCTCAGATTTTTCTTTTCCATTACATAGGGTATTCTTCCAGGGCAGGGACTATGACTCTCCCTTGGCCTGGGAGTTCCCTGAAAACAAGGGCCCGGTTTGGGGCCATCCTGTCTGTTCCTCCCTCATGCCCCAAGCCAAGCTCAGCCTTGGTCACGGTCTGAAGGGATTCAGGGGCTGCCAGCCTCCTGGCTTGTCTGGGATCAGGAGGGTTGAGCATGAGTGCAGCAGGTGTGGATTTGACTGTGGCCAGGCCCGCTGGGGTACTCCTAGAGGCCAGCTAGTGAGCTGTCTGGGGCCAGGGGGGAACCCAGGGGGTCCTAGGCCTAAACCAGCCCTCGGGGCCACAGGTCCAGCGCCCTGGGAGGGTGGTGACTTCCTGTACCCGGAAGTCTGAGTGGGGAAGGACAGAGGGTGATTCCTGGAATGCTGACTACTCACGCCTCCTGTGGGCTTTATCTTTGGTGCTGGCAGGAGGACAACCACAGTTATTATGTGTCCCGTCTCTATGGCCCCAGTGAGCCCCGCAGCCGGCAACTGTGGGTAGATGTGGCCGAGGCCAACCGGAGCCAAGTGAAGATCCACACAATACTCTCCAACACCCACCGGCAGGCTTCGGTGAGTGCCCCAGTCCCCAGCCGTGCGTCTCTGGGCTGGGAGGCCGGGGGCCAACCCACCCTGCCTGGTCAGTGGGCGTGGCTGTGGCCCGAGGTCTGTGACCTGGGAGGTACCTTCCAGGGATTCCCATGGGACTTTGCCAGAGTTGGGGTGCCCAGTAGTGGCCCTGGGCATGCCTGCTCCCCACTCTGTCCAAATAAGCATGAGAGAGTGTGGGTGCCCAGGGCGTGCTGACCCTCTCCCATCCCCTGCAGAGAGTGGTCTTGTCCTTTGATTTCCCTTTCTACGGGCATCTTCTGCGGCAGATCACCATAGCAACTGGAGGTAAGGCCACATCGTGGGGCCCCGGGGAGGGTTTGGAGACCTCAGCCCGAACTCAGGGGCCCTCCCAGGGGTGGCAAACTGGAGACAGGGTTGTGTAGATGACATGGGAGGAATGCACGTTTGGTTCTAACAGGGGCCTGATTCTCAGGAATGGGGGTCAGTGGACGTCAGAGCATCCCGCTTGCATCAACTGACCTGCTCATGTGCGTGTGTGTGTGCGTCTCCTTGGGCCAGCACGAGTCAGTGTGGACAACCCTGTGTCCCGGAGTCGCTGAATAAGAGGGAGAGGGAGACCCCTCTGAGAGCTTGGGCTCCTGGGGCCAGGCTCCCTATTGATAGGAGGCTTCTGTCTTTAATCGCTGCACTTCAGTTCCACATCCCACTTCCCCAGGGATGGGAAAAGCTGCGAGTCCCCTCCTCTTCCTGCCCCCTCACCCTAGAGTCTGTGTCCCGCTGAAGGAACAGGGAGGACCCTGTCTAGGGCCCTTCGACTCCATACACACCAGACCCAGAGCCCGCCAGATGGGGATGGGCGACAGAGATCTCAGGCTCACTTCCAACTCCGCCCGCGCTGCCCTTGCCCTTGGGGAAAAGGCCCCCAGAGTGGCCCCTCTGGGCCATTTCTGGCGACTCCTCTGCACCTCTCCCACCCTAGGCTTCATCTTCATGGGGGATGTGATCCATCGGATGCTCACAGCTACTCAGTATGTGGCGCCCCTGATGGCCAACTTCAACCCTGGCTACTCCGACAACTCCACAGTTGTGTACTTTGACAATGGTGAGACCGGATCTCAGAATTTAAGTCACCCAGCTCCAGGGATCCCTTGTCCAGCCCTCTAGAGGAGCACAGGGCCTAGAGAGGGCAAGAGTCCCGCAGTCCCACAGCAAGGCGGTCACCTACCTTTCTCTGCTCAGTTTTCTCACCTGTCAGATGGGGACAAAAATGCCTGCCATCCAGAAGAATCTGATGAGATAACAAAACGACAGTGCTTGGCTCTTAGTCGAGGTAGAATAAATGTTAGGGGCCTTTGTTGTTTCTTACTTTCACCAGGATGTTCCTTGAACCCCATCTGAACCCAGAAGAACAGACATTCCTCCTTCTTTTATCTCAAGGAGTCAGAATAGACTCCCAAGGAGGAAAGGGAAAGATGATCAAGTACAGGATCTTCTGGCGCCTCTGCTGCTCCGAAGCCAGGCTGCTTTAGTGAGCTGCCCAGCTCCCGTCTCCTTAAATTTGCAAACTTCCCCATCATCCCAACCTGTGGCCATCACCCTCCGGCTGGCATTTCTGTAGGGCCCTGCTCCTTGCACGATCTCCTGTCCAGCCGGGTCTCTGTTCTTCTCCCTAGGGACAGTCTTTGTGGTTCAGTGGGACCATGTCTATCTCCAAGGCTGGGAAGACAGGGGCAGTTTCACCTTCCAGGCAGCTCTGCACCGTGACGGCCGCATTGTCTTCGGCTATAAAGAGGTGAGTAGGCCCAGCTGCAGAGATAGCTGGGTCTTGGAGCCTTTCTTCATTCAATAAATATTTAGAGAATTCACGATGTGCCAGGCATGGGACTTGCTGCTGGGAATACAGCAGTTAACAAGATGGTTGCAGGTCCTACCCTTTTGGAGCTGTAAGTCTGGTTGCGGAGATGGACAATAATTACAGGGACAAATGTAGAATCACCACTGTGACAAGCACTCCCAAGTAGAGGTGCCTGGTGCTAGCTGAGCCTTTCACACACCTCTTAACCTTGACAGAGGCCAGGGGAGGCTTTGCTGAGGAAAAGAGTTGAAATCTGAAGGATAAATATGAGTTCAGGAAGCAAAGAGGAGAATGAAGTATGTTCCAGGAGAGAAAACAGCACATGCAAAGGTCCTGAGGCAGGACAGAGCATGGCTGGCACAAAGCACTGAAAGAAGGCAGTATGGGCCAGGCACGGCAGCTCATGCCTGTAATCCCAGCACTTTGGGAGGCTGAGGCAGGTGGATCATCTGAGCTCAGGAGTTCAAGACCAGCCTGGCCAACATGATGAAACCCCGTCTGTACTAAAATTACAAAAATTTAGCCAGGCATGGTGGCAGGCACTTGTAATCTCAGCTACTCAGGAGGCTGAGGCAGGAGAATCGCTTGAACCCAGGAGTTGGAGGTTACAGTGAGCCGAGATCGTGCCACTGCACTCCAGTCTGGACGACAGAGTGAGACTCTGTCTCACACATCCCACT